GTCTAAGCAAAGCCTATATTCTACTGTCAACTATTCATCTGTGCATGTGTTTTACATCTTGTTTGTATCTTTACTCTGGGTGTCCCAGCCGCACTGCCCTGCTACCTGTCTGCCCATCTGTTGAGTCCCTTCCTTTGATGCAGGGCAGTGGTGTGTCATCCAGATGTGGCAGCAGAAGAGCGAAGAGTTCAGTTAGTCCCCAGGGATTTTCCCCCTGAGCCCTTTGCACAGGAAGGGCTGCTGCAAAGAGCCAGAGAGCCAGACAGCCCACATATGTGGGAACCTTGTCTTGACTACCTCTCCCTGTTCTGATCCTTCCCTCCATCATCGAATGATTTCCTTAGACTCGACTCCCCACTCGCACTTTCTGCAACTCCTACATGCATCTTCTACTTCATCCTTTTTTCTCTCTTAGACCTTTTGAACTCCAAACCATCAACATCATCAACATCCTTGGCTGGATTTAGTTAAGCAGCAAAGCACAACGATAAAGCAAAGGTTTAATTAATAACATCCATAAAGACAGGGGTCTTGTTGTTGTTCATGGTGACTCAATATTATGACTCACTGTGATGACTCACGAAGGCACCAAAATGTAGAAGAACCATTGTCAATTTTATAATTTTACATCTGTTTTTCCATTGCTATTGTTGAGCGGGATGTCGTATAAAAGCCGATTGAATGAATCAGAAAATAGTCACGCCTTAGTCCACTGATGCAAACACAGCTGAAGTGGGTCAAGCTCTGTCTGCTGTGCTTGAAATGCCCTTTAGCCAATAATTGGATCATGTATTTGTTTCTGTGCTTTATAAAGAGAAATGAGAGTCAAAGCACTGATTTGATACCACTCAAAAACAAATCCATTATGGTGTTCTCATCCATGACCAAAACTCCTGAAAACCTCCCGAGACAATCAAACTGATCAACAGGGAAAACTTCACACTGTGAGGTGTGAGTGTACATAACTGCTTTGGGAAGTTTCAGGGGCATACTGATCTGATATTTTCTAGACATTGCAGAGAGTTCATATGTGAAAACAGCCAAATGTTTCAGGTACATTGTATAGGATAATAACAAACAGCCAGAGACTGGAATTTTAATCAAAGCTAATAAAATCAGGGTTTCTTTGTCATTTTTTTCTTGTCTTTTTTAATACTGTTTGACAAATACTCCAGTATTGAAACAAAACTCGAAAGAAACACACACTTACATAGTTACACAAATTAAAAGGAATTGGGAGTTACCTTGTTGTGAGAAGGAAAATTAGAATAACTTGAAAACTCTTTTCATCTCTCACAGTTTTCATTTGCGGCCCTGCTGCTGCCCTGTGTGAGGAGGCGAGCTCTGGTTTGGTCTGGAAACAGGATGTGGGCTGTGGAGCTGGGCATCTGCTACATGCCATTCAGTCTCTGGAGCTCATTTGCATAGTTTATTTGTGAGTGTGTGTTAAAAAATGTTGCTCCAATCAGATCGTTTTGAGCATTTGTGTTTGAGTAGTTGTCTATTGTCCGGTGGTGCATGCATCTACATTAACATTTTGGGTCCATGCCCTCTTTTTATTGAAATGCATGTGTATAACAAATGTGTGTCTGTATGTGTAGATGTGTGCTTGTGTTTGTGCTAGTTCCCTCCCCTATTTCCAGTGTGGGCGTTTTGTACCGACACAGCACCATGCATGGCATCCCCTCTGGCGCTGTCTTCGGCCCACCCTGGAATAGTTAGCTCAGCTCTCACTCAGATTGTTATCAGCTTCACCTCTCCATTCCTTTTCCACTGGAGTAAAATAACTATGATATTTTCTCTTCTTTGCACTACGTCTGCATCCATCAATCCATCACCTATTCAATTGCGTCTGATCACTGAATTTTGTAAACTCACCTGCACGTTGTCCTTGGCTGGGGGAAATTCACCAGAAACGTACAGAGTCAACCAACACAAACAAAACATGAATCCAGGCAGAGGACAGGGTCTCTGCAGTCACATTCACCATCACACATAGTGAAGCCCATGAGTGATGATTGAGCGGCATAAGTCTACATTTTATTTTTTTGGAATAGCTACTGACTCTATCTTGAAAAGATAGTTTGTTTCAGTGTGCATGTTTGCGATGCTAATTATGTTTGCCTGTTAATGGCAATTTCCATTACATGTTAGCTTCAAGCTAACAAACTGAGATGTACTTCCCATTCCATCTGTGAGAAATTGCCCGCCCGAGAATAATGCACGGGCCGCTACTGATTTTGTTCATGGATTTTGCTGTTAACAGCTTTCTTTATATAAATGGGGAGATTCTGAAACATCCAATGCATCAGTAGCCTCCAATTGCTTTTACCTCACAAACTAAGGAAACCAATCCCACAAAAAGAAACTGAAGTATTTTGTACAGTGCATTGATAGATCTTATGGATAAAGTAGTTTTGAGTTATGAGACGCACAAGTGGCTCCAAGAACATTGCAGGGGCTGCAGTTTTCGTCTCCCAAACTGCTTTTGTAGGGTATTAACTGTAAAGAGAACATGAGAGTTCAATTAATGAATGTTATGTCTGGACATGTAATACTCTTTGAAATACAGTCTAATCTTAGCTGCTGCCCTCTAATCCTTTTAGATTTACAGCAGGGAGCAGTTGGAGCCTTGTCTCTACCTCGGAGGAACATCATTAGGATGTCCACTGCTAGTAAAGAACTCTTTTATACTTTTTGCTTTATATTCTACGAAGAATTAATGATTTCATATTTAATGTTTTAACAAAGTGAGCATGCAGACTTCTTGTATTATGATATAGGGTTCAGCATTGTTTTATGAGGCTTCAGCAGGACAGAAACTGTGTTGTGGGGATACAGTTCGTGACTTTCTACTTACAAGATGCTCTCTCCTCAGGGCCTCCTGTCACTCTCCAGTGTCAGACTCAAAGGCCAAAACTGCTGCATCGGGCCTGCTGATGAAACACTGTCACCCCTCTATTGGTATTTTTGACAGAGTGACTTACTGGGTTGAACATATTGATGCCCGGGCTTTTGAGACTAAAGTTGATGTGACTCCTGTGAGGAGTATTTTAGCAGGTTATGAAACAGACAGAAAAAAAATACAGATATATCTGTATGAGTTACAAAAGTGGATCCATGAGCATAAAGACTGCCATGGGGTAAGTAGGTGTCAGGCAAAGTGATTAATATCACTGCAGACATGTTTTCTTACATCATCAATGGCAAAGACTTGTGATGTTACATTTAACTATGATACAAAAAAGCATGATGATATCTTTGGTTAAAAAAGCAAAGCGATGAGACGTTTTCTTTTGTCCACTGGGGTCCCCAAATTTGGCACAACCCAGCTTTAAAATTATCATTTTCAAATACCTCTATGTTTCATAATACTTTAAACCTTATAGTGTGATAAATTACAAATACACTTTGGATTTATAAACTTTTCGATTGAAAATTTGCTCAAACACAAGCTCACTTGAGTTGTTTAAAATGTGATTAAGAACAAACTGGATATAAACTGCAATTGTAAGCATGATGGACCAACTAGCTTAGCTCCAAAGCTAAGGCACACATTGTCATCAAACAACAGCAGTTTGTAGCATCACAGGACCCATGAGAAAATTCACATCCACTGATTAGAAGCCAATCCTTGATGCTAGAGTTTAGGCTAACGTAGCAGCTCTTGTGTCACTTTATAAATCAAAACACAGAGTGTCAATTATTAGTGTGAATGCTAAGCATCTAAAATGTTTTCTATATGCGCAGCATGCATATTTGTCATGAATTATTGAGGATGTTGAATCTTTCCTTAGGACATGTTAGCTCTGACTAAGTGTTTTAGTCCTTTATCATGAAGGAGCATTAAGTGCACATTTATAACTTTTCTGACAGACTTTCTACCATTTCTAGCTTGAAACAGTACAAAATTGGTCAGAGGTGCAAGGACAAGGCTAAATCTACGACATCAGTAGTTATTAAACCTGGTTAACTTGACATGCCTCCGCCAGAAATGAGAAGCTTTTGACCCGGTATATCTTAATGGTAAATGTAGTTGTTAAAAGATAATGAAGGGTTTCTCATTTTAAATCTTGTGCAATAATAAAGTGTGTATGAGCTAAACTAAGCAGAAGTTCAACAGGTGTTATAATAATTAAAGCATTGAAGGGAAATGTTAAATGTTATCAGAGGACAGTAGAACTTCATTGACCTAACATGCGTCAAAGACTCAAATTGAAAGCCTTTGATATTGGCTGTATGCTTTGCACTGTGTACTCATGGTCATAAACTTAAGGGTTAAATGTTTTTTTCTGACCATAATTGTTTCATTGATTTTACATACATAGCTCCTGCAGTGGCACAGTAGACCATTAGTCCTGTAATAGCACATAAACATTTGAGACAATCACAAGGCAAACAGAGAAACACAATCGATGCCTCTCAGCCTCCAGAAACCTGATCCGGCACCTGGACTCCTTCAAAGAACCCTAGCACCTTTATGAAGGAGCCAAAAGAGAGACAGTGTCCCTTTAAGGGATAACTCACAGAGGAAGAAAAAAAAAATTCTCAAAGAAGGAAGGAGAGGAGGTGTGTATGTGTACGTGTACTTGTTAAACTGATAGACACTTGGGAAAGAGAAAAAGAAGGAGAGAGAAAGGGAGGAAAGAGAGATAATCAGAAAGAGAGACAAAGAGGGAGAGACACAACATTGCATTAGGCACTAAGAGCCATTCCTCGCTCGCTAAAGGCTAATGCAATTGCCACAAGAAAGAGAGTCTCAGCGGAGGCTGTAAAAAAAAACTAGAGAGGGGAATGAAAGAGGAGAGGCAGGGAGGGAGGGAAGAATAGAGAGGGGGAGGGAAGGAAGGAGGGAGGGAGAACAGGCAGCTCTGCCTCCAGACTCTCATATGGACAGTGGATCTCTTGGGACAACTGGTGAAAGTCTCTCTCTGTCTCTACTGTTACTGGCTGGCTGTGTGAGTGGCTGAATGTGGGCTGGGGCTCTGCTGTGTATCCAGAGTGATTTATCAGGTTTGCAGGAAGAAGACAGAGGGAGAGAGAGAAAGAGAGAAAGAGGGGGGAGACAATCCCGGTAGCAGTAACCAGGCTGCTTGCTGGGTGCGTTAACTCCAAATCTGACCTCTATGGGAACAGAACAGCCTCCACTCCTCTTCTCCCCTCCTGGCAAGCTGTGGGAAAAAGGGGGGGGGGGGCAAATATTCATTTTGCCCCTCTCTGTCTGCTACACGCTGGCCCTTGGACCACTGGGACGCGGCCCTGGAAGGGACTGTTTGGCAGAGGGACATCAGCAGGGGAGACCCGGGCTCTGAGGATTGCACTTGGAACGATTCTTGGACCCGAAGCGGCACAGTTGGCACAGTCAGGCTGCAGTTGTTTAGTCAGTCATTAGCCAGTCAGATGGTTAGTTAGTCAGCCAGTAAATCGGTCAGTGGGGTCCCTCCCAACAGGGTCAACTCTTTGTGCATATCCTCCTCTGAACTCTGAGGTGACTCAGACTTACCAAGTAGGACCTGTGGGCATGGTGAGTGGCAAACACCCCTCTCTGTTTCACACACATTCTTTACCTTTGACTCTCTTTCTTCTGTGGGTGCAGTGTTCCATTTCTAAATTGCTTTGTTGTGTCTTCTTTTTGCTTTTCATGCTGCTTTCCTTTGGCAGCTGACTTGTCACAAACAGAACACAAGACAGCAGATTTGATCAAAGCCCGATGTTGTCTGATTTTATGGATTTTATGCAGTTGTCATATTCTCGCTTTGATCTCTTGATGATGAGATTCAGGGAAGGCAGCGCATCTGTTAGTACAACAAACAAGTAGTTGGTTTTACAGCCGACATTGGCTTACCAAAAATAGTTCACATGTGTGGTTTAATCTTGTTCATGAGATTCAAATGAAAAAAAAAATCTATTTACTAATGCTTCTGAAGGGGGAAAACACTAGATTTTGTAACCTTGTAAATTATGAATAAACCTGTATGAAATGATGTTCTCTGTGATTAGTAAAACAGATAATATTTCATATACACACCTGCATGCCTGTTAACTGCTGTACCAGCACTTTTATTTTTCCAGCAAACTCATGACTGTAGGGGGTTTGTTGATCCTCATTATCACACCACTGTTTGGATAAAAAAGTTTGATGTGGTAAACTAGCCCTAAAGTTAAGCACACAGAACATTTTTTGAAAAAAAAAAATTGTTCAAATATTTGATTGTGCTCCAAGGCTTTATCAGGATCTCCTAAATCAGTGTGTTGCTCCCATGTGTTAAAGAAATGTGAGACAGGGATAAAGCTCATGCTTTTAGATACGTTTTATACTTACAATTTGATATAAATTGCAGGAGTTTAATATATAAAATGATAAAATGACTGTGATGGTGGAACATATGAAAGACTACAGTATATCCAGCCCATGCAGCATTTAGTGCCCTTTTGGTATTAATACGAATATTAAATAAATGTTCATTACAACAGATACCCTTGTATTACCAGACAGATCCAAAACCAAAATAACATTACCTTTTTTTTTTTTCTAACCTTAATTTAACCAGGAAAGAAAACTCATTGAGATCAAAAATGAGTGTCCTGGCCAAGACAGGCAGCAGCAGGTCCCAGGTCCATATGAGCCACACAGTCTAATTAACCTTAAAAATAAAACAAACAGCTTTGGCAAAAAATAATCGGCTACCCAGTTTGAAACACAAAATAGAAAAAAAAACTGTAAGTAAAAGACATGCTGTTGATTGAAGTTTGCTATATATCACAACTACAACCAGTACAATTTTGTCAGCCAATACGAAGCCAAAATTCATGCAATGAATATTTGTGAATGAGTAACTTGCTTTTGTTTGTCAGGTTTACAGGATATACCCCGAAACATAAGGCCCATAATGCTCTGTGTCTGATACAGATGTAAGTAGGAAATGTATGCAAACAATTTTTTTAAAAACAGCATAGACGTCATTTCTACAGTGTATTTCTGTATTTGGGAGTCTTTCTGGCCGAATGGTCACATTTCCTTTCTCTCAACATTGAAATATAAACTCTCCTTCAGAATAAGTGAAACGCTGCATACTCACTATGCAGTGGCAGATGTTGACATGGGCGTTGTCTCGGGAAAACAATGAACAGATGTTTGTCATTTGGGTTCAGCTCCTAATTTCGCTGTCATCGATAAAGTTTATGTGATTGTGAGCATGTGTGAGTGGATGTCTGTGTGTGGTATATTCTGCAGCAAAGCATGCACCTGTGTGACCTTACAGTAGTTTGTGTGTATGTGTCAGTGTCAAGTGTTGCCCTGCACTTTGTACATTCGGTTGTTCCTTTCAGATCAGCTGCAGTGTGTGTAGGTGAACGGGACAGCATGGCTTCCCCTCGGCTCTTTCAGCCCTGTCCATGCATCCACCACACATAATTTCTTTCTGAGCCGAAGCAATTACAGCACACATCCAAAGCCATCTAAGGCGGGAAACCAAATGAAGGAGCCTTTGATAGGTCCCGACTGATGCATATTTACTTTTTATGACCAACCAAGTAGTAAACAGCTTGCCTTGTTGGCTCTGGAGTGGAACTTTAAATACAGGCCGGTTCACACACAAACATGCAAATAAACACACACATGCACAAGACTTTTATGGAAATTTAGAGAAAAGCGTACAGCCATCTCTTCAGTGAGCACCACAAGAAATACCCGTGACATTGCCAGCTCGATCTGTTTGCCAGTCATTGATTTCATAATCAGGTTTGTCGAGCTATGCCTTTTGTCTGCAGACACAGCAGCAGCAGCAGCAGCAGTAGCCTCCAATTGAAGCCATGTGTGGTGGAAAAACAGGCCTCAGTTTGTGGAGAGCTTGCATGCTTGGAGTGGGAGGGAGCCTGCATGTTACAGAGGTCACAATCCGAACACGCCAACTCCTCTTCGCCCTCTCACACGCAATGCTGATGGAAGCATCTCAACTGTCAGTCAAGAGTCCCTCTCCAATTCTCCTTTACTCCGGCATTACCTTTACTTGAATTACATTAAATAAAGGCATCTACAGATGATGCTCTATAGCTTTTACCTCGATCTTTGGATTACAGATTTTAAGTGTCAAACTTGAAAAAAAAAAAATCCAGGTCAAATACAGGCAAGAAAGAAGAGCTTTTATTCTTAAAATGGTGTCTGAAACTGTCAGGACTCTGTGTTCAGGGTGTGCCACAAATTAAAAAAAAGTGGTTCGTGGTTTGGATTTGACACATCATTAGCATTCGTTCTGCTAATGGCAGCTCTGTTACATCCTTAGTGTCCTCAAATGAACCCAGCAGTCCACCGCTGTGTCACTCTCACACTATCTCACAGGCAGATAATGCTCAATCAATTCTGTTTTCCGTCATATTTTTTTCATCTTAAGTGCTTCTGTCTCCGTCCTTTTCGCTGTGTTTCACATCTCCTTTTTTCCTCCTTCATCATCAGGTTTCAGAGAATCTTTCTCGTCTGGTCAAAGTGTAATCTCTGTATCCACAGCTAATAGCTAATAGCTGAGATAGCTTCTTATATCAGATCAAGAGATCGCCCACACCAGCCTTTAATGCAGTTGTGCCATTTCCTCTCATGCATTATAAAGTATCATGTTCCTGTCAGATAATTTTTTTCATTTCCTCATTGTTTCTGTGATATGTGAGCCAATGCTTCTATAGAGATAACATTCAAATGATTCAGCACCAAGTACCCTTCGACGAGGGAAAAAAGAAATCCAAATATGTCTTATTCTGTTTCATTCCTAAGAAAAGGTTGGTAATGATTGATTCTGCATGAAATTACATCCTACTAAATAGCATTAAGCTATGTAAAGTGGATTATTGTTAATGGGACATGAGAAAAACTCCTGCTCCTTACATCAGTCCCATGTGAGGCTGGTTTATAAGGACTGACTGATCTAATGAGCGAAATAATGAAGTTCCAGCCAACAAGCACTGATCAGTCCTTTAATGCCAACAGGGTCTTAAATTACAAAGATCTGTCAAGACGGGTCTCAGGTTTTACATCTGTGATCAACTCAATGTTTCTGATTCATTCAATGGGGGTTAATAATATAAATGCACTACATGTTTTTTTTTATCTTAGCCTATCCAAAACAAACAAACATTGTATTATGATGTCTCACACCACTTTTGAGCTGATGGGTTTAAAGTGTTTCCAAACTGTAAAACCTAAAACTGCAGATAAGATATTCATGCACAAAAGGTTAAGTATGTAGCTCAAGTCAAAAAAATAAAGTGCAAGAGTTTTATTCTGGACATGAAGAAAATTCTCAGCTACGGTCATTGACACAGTCATTTGGCTGTTTGGATCAAATAAAGTGTATTCTGTAGATAACAGATAGAGTCAGTAGAAATGTTTGTTGCAACACAAACATTCAAACTGGTCGCCCCCTCTTGGGTTCAGCGCTACCAGAAACACACACTCACTGCAGGGTTAGTGTGTACGTGTACTGCTTGTACTTGCATTGCAAGCTACTGCACGCTAGCACAAGCTAACCAAGGGTGTCTGGTACCTGTCTGTCAAACAGAAAGTAGGCCAATTCTGCGTCCGCAGGAATGTGCTTCATCTGCTTGGCATTTTGCCTCACTATGATTAGATTTTTTCTTCTTTGCCGCTTGGTCCGCGTCAGTCATATTTGCCAGTTTGAATAATGTCCAAACGCTGAATTGTATTCACTTCTCAAACTCACCTGCATGCTGTCATTGGCTGGGGGAAACACACAGAAATGTCCCAAGCCAACCAACACAAAGTAAATAATCAAAATCCAGGTAGAGGACAGGGTCTCTGCAGACAACAACACACATGTATGGAGGCTCATTGGTGTTGATTGAGCACAATAACTTTTGTATAAGGCTTTATTTTACTGACTCTACCTTTAAAGGTCTGCTAGCCAGCAACAGATGCACTGACGTTAACTTGTGTCATTTCTGTTATTTTTCACTCAAGTGGATTCAATTGCAACCTAGGAAGTTCGATTTGCACCCAGTGCTGCCTTTACCTGATTTTTTTAATCAGTTGAAGGACATATATTTCACTCTTTGTTCTGTCTGAACACAGGACAAGAGAGACATTTTGCGCTTGCTCATGAACAATTGCAAACACTTTTTGTCACTTCTGCAACGGCTTGGATAGTGTTGACGTTCTGTTAACAAATTGTTGGCAAAAAGTAACACACAACTTGTCTAGTGATTTATTTTCCATAAATGTAGCTTTGACAATTTTTTGGGTGTAGTGTATAGGCGTCACACTTTTCTTTCCCACATACACACATTCTCACCCACTGTATGTTTCTCTGCATGTTGTGCTACACTTCGTGAGAGCAGTGTGAAAAACAAAGTGACACCTGTGTGTGAGATGCAAGGTGACGTCAGAGCTGTAACTGGGTTAAGGTGACCACAAATATAACAACTTCTCATGAGCAAAACACATGCCAAAAACGTTCAGCACATTCGCATTCACATTTGCTCTCTGCAAATGGTGTGAAATGTTGTGAGAGGATGTTATTGCAAACCAAAGAAACTATGATATGTTGATATATGGATATTCACGTGTATAAGTGTTGTGTACATTTTGTGAAGCTGTTCAGGCTTCTTTGTTTTTTTCACACCACTTGAGCTGAGTATTATTTCTACTCTTCTTTGTCATTTTACTAAACAAGCAGTTCCTCCAGGCTGCACGAATGAGGTCATTTTGTTCGCCTGTTACTGCAAACCTTGCACTTTCTAAATGTGGTGACATGTTCACACCTTCAGCCTTGTGTACCATAATAAACTTCCATCAGGCTGTAAATTATGTTCCGTTGGGTTCTTGGGATGTGGAGGTGTCATCATACTTTCTCAAATTAAAAAACATAAAATAAATCATGTCAAAACTGAACACTCAAGCAAAAATGGCATATTTTCTCTACCAGCTTCTTAGATGTGAAGATCTGCTGCTATTCTTTGTCAAATGTTCATTAAAAATCCTCGCTAAGGGGCGCTGGTGGCGCATTGGTTATTGCGCACGCCCCATGTACAGAGGCTATAGTCCTCCAAGCGGGCAGCTCAGGTTCAAATCCCACCTGTTGCTCCTTTCCAGCATGTCATTCCCTCTTCCAGATTTCTGACTCTATCCACTGTCCTATCTCTACAATAAAGGCACAAAACGCCCCAAAAAAACAACAACAACAACAACAAAAAACCTTGCTAAATCAAATTCTTTAATATTATACCATGAGGTCGTAGGAGTTGTTGAATAACTTCATGGTGTTCTCCCCTCTCACTGTTACTTTGGGTTTGTATTATGTGTAATGTGCAATATGAGAAATGTGAAATTTGTATTAAATTAAAGCTATGACTTGTCTGTTCTACTGTGTTGTACACATTGTTGTTAGTTTGGTGTTTTTATTAGTGGAGATAGCTAAATGTGTGAAGAATTAGAGTTCAAGAACAATTTCCTTAAGAGAATAGTTATGAGAATCGTACCGTATCATAGCATATTGTACCGTGTCATACCATAGAGTATCACACAGAACTAAATCGCAAGTGTGGTATCGGATAGTTGGGGTATTGTATGTATTTATCTCTAGGTTACTGTCAATGGGATACTTGGCTCTGATGTGAAGCTATACATTTGTTTTTCTTTTACTATATTCTGATGCTTAAAAAGCGAAACAATAAAACAGTTTTCTTGATGATAACTTGATGATCGAAATAATTATCAGTGGCTGTCCCAATGGAGTGTGCTAACGAATTGTATTTGACCTTTTAATAATCATTACAGTATCAAACATGTGCTGTTAGTGCCACCCTGTCATTGAGCGTGCTTGCCAAATATATGCCACCTCTCTACAGTCTTCATTTTGCCTCTAACACCTAAGTCACCAATCAGTTATTTCCCACATAGAGCTTTCACACCCAGCAAGCAAACACTGACGCACACACGTCAGAGGGCATGACCGCTCCCTTTGATTCACTCACTGTCTCTGTTCTTTTCTTTCACACACTACACAGAATAAATCATACGTGGAAATATTACACACACCCACACACAGAAACACACACATGCACTGAGGCAATTCCTCTTTTCCTACAACTATACAGCGAAGCACAACTTTGTGTTCCTCGTCTCACAATGTAGACAAAAATATTTATTCATGATTCATGTGCAGGGGGGAGCGAGCTGTTAACGCCGTTTGACAGCACAGACATATTTCTCTGTCTGGAAGGATTCTTCACGCCTCTGTTATGTTGTACAACTTGTACAGTGACACTGCACATGAACGAGTGCTGTATAAGACACTTAGTTCATTTATAAACAATGTAGGGATGCCAACAAGGTCATGGCGGAGAACACTTGGGTTTTTATGAACCTGCAAGTGTGGACAAGAGTACGGCTTTGACCTTTAGAGATGGGATCGTGGGTTTTACGTGTCATAGTGAAGATGCCATGATAATAGTGCTTTTGTGTTATATTGTGTATCTGTTCAAATCATTTGTATTGCATGCTTTGCTCTGAAAGGTTCTCCAGTAAGATCATAAAAAAGGGAAAGAAAATTCCCTTTTTAAGATTCCCCCCCCCCCCCCCCCCCAAAAAAAAAAAAACAGACAAATTAAGATTTCCCTATTGTAATGGAAAAATGTTGAAAGGGGCACTGTTGAGTATCAGCCCTCACATCCTCCTGACTGCTCAACAATACTGTCATTATTCCTTCCACACTAGGGTGGGCCTGGAATTTTCCCTGCAAAACAGCATAAACAACAACAACAAAAGATAATAATACATGCTGACGTTCCAATTTCTTCAGGAAAGGAGGGGGGGAGAGCTTGAAAGAGTTGGGTTTTTTTTCTGTGTCTCTGCTTGTGGACCCACCCGGCAACGTCACGTCGTCTCTGACCTGAAATCCCCTCATATAATATGACAAAGAGGAAAAACAGAACCCTGTCCATTTGACGTACTTTGATTTTTAATTGGTAAAACAAGTTCCAGATCTCCTTATGGTGTACTTTCTCCCCGCCTGATGTCATATAGATGGAGTATTGATACTTAAGAGCACCAGGCCGTTTGTATCGCCCATGCTATTTTGAACAAGCAGTGTTTTAATTTTTGCTCCTGAGATGCTTTTAAAAAAAAACTGAGCCGCAAGCTGGCACTGCATGTTCCAACTAAAACTCCACATCTGCTGCATCCTGCTGATCTGTGCAGAGGAGCAAGTCTGCAGAGTCATTCCTCACGTCACACTAATTTAATATTTTTTCCTTACAGAGATAAGTTGTATCATCTTCCATCCAAAGGGTTACAGGAGTCGTTTGAAGTGCATCATCGATTATCATCAAATCACTTCAGGTTCCAAGACAGAGGTTTTTTGTTTAGAGTTTCTAACGATTAATGTCTCTCTCTTTTTTTTTTTGTACTTTTCTTTTAGGTCACAGGTGCTCCACAGCTGCTGTAGATGGACGGAGGCATCTGGAGCCCAGGAGGATGCTGGAGCAGATACAGAGGGCAGAAGAAGGGCGGAGAGGTGCGAAGTTGATCCCCCCGCTGTGGTGGGGAGGGTTCCTGGCACCGTGATTTGATGCACAAAGAGAAACAAAAATCACATTGCCAGGGATTTCCACTCTTTCACAGCTTAGCAGGTGATCGCCTTATATTTCCACAGTGAAAGGAAACTTTTTGTATGGAAGTTTTGGTTGTTCTGTTTCTTATCTTTTATTACCTGACATCAGAAGTTGCTTAAGTCAAATGTATGAACAGTTTTTTGGGGGAAATTGTCATCACCTCTCAGTGGACTTCAAGCGGTTATGGGATCAGCTTTTCACACGAAGAGCTGTGAGAAAACTCACACAACACACTTCAGCATTAAAGCTTGCAGTTTCATGTGCAGCTGTCAGAAACCTAAACTGTCCTGACTGATCTCACCTTTCAAATTCATCCAGAAAGTAGATGTTAATGCATACAAAAGTCACACAGCATTACATGATAGAGCAACTTTTTTTCTTTTGGTAAGATCACATTTCAGCTCTTCATAAACACAGACACCATTTTAATTTTTTAAAGTCAAGGCTGGGATCTTCCATTGGTGGCGCCATCTGAAACACAATACAAGAGAGCCCCATTTAAGGAAAAGCAAAACTCAACATCGTAAGCACTTAAGGCTTTGAAAGCAGCCACCCTTTACCACTGAGCAGTCACGTAAAGGTCTGCGTGCGTCTCTGTTCCCTCAAAAGCCATCCACCCACTTGCTAAAGGCACAGAGCTTAGCTAATTGGTGAGCATTGATCCCTGCTATGTGTTGTTCACAGTGGCTAAGTTCAGTGCCTGAGGTGAAATAGTTGATTCGGCGGAGGGGATTTGTTCCGGTGAATGGAAAGAACTTGATGATCTCGGATATGAAGAAAGGAGGGGCGGAAGGAGGAGAGGGGTGACGAGAGATTAGGTGGAGAGGGAGCAGGGAAGTTGGGAACACAGAAAGGCTAAAGATTGTGGTCCCATGTAGGACCTATTTAGGGTTAAATGTGTTAATGTGGACCAAACGCAGGTTTACGATTGTGCAATGCGTTCCAGACGTAAGACAAGCTGTACTGTTATTTTATCGTGTTTGAACTGAAGCAACAACTGTGTAATGGATCTGGCAAGAATCATCATGCATACTTAATATATTTGAAAGCGCGTCAATGAGACAGATTGACCCAGGTTTGATGTGGATAAAAAAAAATGCCACAGTTTGTATTGCAATTTGAGGAATGTGGTGCTAAATGTCAGACACGTACGGGCATGCCAAGTTCATGTCCAACAGAGTTTGCTCAGGACTGGTGTGCCAGTATTCTGGTGTCACGTGCCAGCCTGGACAAGCATGTTGGAGAAGAAACCTGAATTAATCCAGTTAATAATTGAATAAACACCTCCCTAACTGATTTTTGTTGCCCAATAATGATTGTAACTTTGCAAGTGTGAACTGTTAAAACAGCATTTTCATCCGCTCTGACTACAGTCACAGTTTGTCAATGTCAGGCTTGGTACATCATTCACATTTTTTGAGTGTGGATTTACAGGTTGTAGAAAAAAAGAAAAAAAGAAATCATTTTTTTCAAGCAGATCAGGCTCCACAGCACAGTGAATTCCCTCTAACTTTCATGCTGCATATCCTGTTGATCTTTTTGTTACAGCTTTTGAAATGCACAAAGGTTGCACTCTGTAGTGTGAAACGGAGCAATGTCTGGGCTGTGCCCTCCCGTGCCTACTGAACTGGTATCAGTGTTTTACCTGAAAACTGGCTCAGTTCAGCAGGAACAGGAGTGGAGCCCACCCACCCACCAGCCAGCTGGATCAAGGTCCCATGTTATGTCTCCAACGTTAATTGCATGTACAGAAAAAAAGCTCTGCCAAGTTTCAACAATACTTTTGGATTTCGTTAACCATAACCACAACAAAACACAAAACATTGGTACACATTTGCCTCAGTCATTGACCATGGCATGATATAAATCAAACCCCAGCCCTTCAATCTGTCGAATAATGGCACTGAACCCTGAAGTCTACGTAAAGCAAAGCAGCTCCAGTTAGAAGTCGGTGCCTCATGCTTAAATATGAATATTTCATAAGCAGATTTACCATATTTTGCTTGATAGGTAGGCCCTGGCATCCTGAGCCACTTTTTGCATACTGTTACATACTGATGCAGTCGATCTTGTTGTTCTGCTCAGCCTTCATGTTTATTTCAGTATTCTCCCCTTGAAAAGACCGTAAACACGTCCCTCACTCATTGCCTATCTCTCTTTTTCTTCAGTCTTTCTTCTGCTGTCAAAGGCCAGACTAAGACTGGAGTTCATTGCCAGGTAATCCCAGCGTAATGTCTGCTATGCCTGTATAATTGATGTCATCCAGCAGTCCCCACTATCAGTAACTGGGAATGCGTGTAACGCTGCTTCCTCCACACTCTCCATTTAACTCACATTCACCAAAGGAAAGCTTCATCTTGACGATTTCATACCCACAGGAAAATTAAAGCACATTAGTGAGCATGATAAATATGCTCCTATGCAAGAACTCCACTGATCATGGCTGGCAGTATAAAATTATATTTGTGTTGCTTTGAATGTCTTAAGGAAAAATGTTCCATTGAGCCCTTAAGGACATTGCCCTCAGAAGGTTAGAAAGTTATTTTTCTCTGTCATCGGTGTAGTCTAGTCGGGGCAGTCTTTCAGTCAAGTGGTACCAATGACTATTAGTCAATGATTTGTGTGAGCATTTAGTCAAACTGAATGTAGAAGACAATGGTCCATGAATTGCATTATTCTAAATGTCAGTAAGTTTGTAAGTACTTCATATCATTTCATGCATGATTAATTATAATGTTACAGGTACAACCTAATGTTCAATTTATTACAAACCCAAGATTCAATGTAATAAAGATGAAATGAGCCTGAAAAAGAATTGTGGCATTGCTTTTTTTAATTCACTATTCTAGGTTAACATAATTTATACCCAGGGGAGAAACAAATATGTTGCAGCTGGAAATAATGAATAAACAAATAAAAATAAACTTTAAAAACACAACACATGTGCTGGTATTGCCGTATGAAACGGTTAGGACATATGGGTGTTTCAGAAGGTGGGTTTTCAATTGAAGAATGATCATTTTACAGGTTTTTTTGGGCAAAGAAAGAAACGATTATTCAAACCTAGTCAGATTGTGAGTAATTGGATATCTTCCTTCTCCCACACACTCTTTTTCGTGTCAAAACTGGTTGCCTACATTACCCACAATGCAACTGAATTAAAAACAGATGGGTCAGACACTGAATGGTATATGGTATTCAACAAGAAGCTAATGTAGAAGCTGCTAGGGAACAGATTAAAGAGGTTTGGCAAGGACTCATTTGTCTTATCCAACATGAGATATATCTTGCAGCGATTTAAAGGAATTGCCAAAAAAGCTTTATGCATTTTTCTCATTTACAGCTATTCAAATGTTGTAGACCTTTAAAATTACATATAATAAAAATGAACAGTTAAAGCTCTGGCGAGCAGGTTCTTCGATGATAATGAAACAGAGCGAAATTAATCTTGATTCCCCTTAATGATGTACAAAACCAAAACGAGACCGTCAGCAACAAGATTGATTCTTTCTTCATTGTTCTTTTAATGCCCCTAAATGCTGTCAAGGGGTAAGTGTCAGACAAGAATATTAAAAGCATGCTGAAACAGCCTGTTTTTCATTTTCCGAAGCAAAGAAGATTGATACATTTCAATGGCAGTTTATGAATGCTGGATGTCAGAAAATACTACATAAAGATGTATAGCTTTCTCCACAGGGGGCGCCAAAATCAAAACAAACTATGAGTTCCAAACAGAGCTTTGGGACATTTTTTGAATCCAAATTATAAAACAAGGACAAATTTGAAAATTTGAGACTAATTTGAAAAAGAAAAATGTTGGACTCAGGATCTTTGTTTTTGATGTCCTCACCATGATGATAATGGGCTGAGACTCAGTGTTATAGTGGACAGTTTCTTGCAAAATGTCAAAGTTAAAAATGCACTTTCTATTTGGGTTTTCCTTGTTACCCCTGGTTGCAAACTTTGACATCAAAAGCATGAAAATACACATTTTAGAGTTCTCATGAAAATACACATTCACAGGGCCAGGAAAGATGTCCAGACCAAGGCCTACAACTCTCCATGGGGATGTCAGTTGCCCTTTTATCTTCAGCCCTCAAAGACGGACCAGATTTCATGATGGGTCTGCTTTTATTGAGCCTGATCTGCTTTTCTTGCCCTCTCTGCCATTCAGTCAGCATCTGTGCGGTTCTCGCCCATGGCTGTGAGCTTGGCTGCGTAATATGGTTTAGAGCTGAGCAAGAACATCTGTTCTACAAAGCTTCAGCTTCTTCCATTCCTGAGGCCTCGTGGAAAAAACCCATGGCCAGCGTTGAGGCCGCTGCTGCAGCAAAGGGCCAACAAACCAGCAAGGCGCAACTTTCAGTCCCATGTATTACTATATGGATCTGATTTCAACAGAAGATGGTATTTATTGTCAACAACTGGTGCTTTGTATAGATCTTGTCATAATTTTTGTTTATTTTTTGAGAAACATGCTAATTGTACTCTTGCCAAAGTAAGATGAAAAGAATGATACCCTAACAAAGACTCATATTGGTTAAATCAAAAGCAACCTTGAGTTGGGTGGGAAGTATTAGCTTAGCACAAAGACCAGAAACAAATGGAAAAGCTAGCTGGGCTTTTGCCTCATTAAAACCTGCTTAACAGAAACTCAGAAACTTATACTTCAATCCTTGCTTGCAAAATCCGTAAAGAAACAGAAATGTAAAAACAACTGGTTAATTTTCAGGGGATTATTTCTGGATGTGATGACTTGACCTGAAGCCTTTTTTAGACTGCTATACGTCCAGGAAACAAGCTGAGTCTGTAGTTGTCCCCTAACATTTTTTGTTAAGGTTGGTGAGCAAGAACGTATCATTTTATTGGGGGAATCCTTCGCTTAAAATTTGACTGAAGTAGAGAAAAATATGGATGTTGGTCTTTCAGTAGCTAGCATGGCTATAGGTATGATGATCTTGTCTCCTTCAACTAAAACTTCAACTTTCCTTTATTGTCCTCGAGGGGAAATTTGTTTGCAGTCAGGTGAGAACAACTATGAGAAAAAAGACAAAAAACAAAACAAAAAAACACACAGGCACATAGAATCAGACAATAGAAACAACAGACACCGTGAGAGGCATTAAATACAGAAATACAGGAGTTCATCAAGTAACAACAGAAGACTGAGAATGTATAAAAAAACATCCATAAAACCATCATTAAACCAAAATAAAAAACCTGTTATCAGTCATCAGGGTCGTCATTGGAGTTCAGAAACTTGATGGCCTGAGTAATAAAATAATTTTTCAACCTGTTGGACTTTGCTTTTGGCAATCTGTATCTCCTGCCTGAAGTCAGAAGCTTAAACTCACCAGACAGAGGATGTCGAGGACACTGTATGATGTCTCGAGATTTAGCTGCATCTCAATTTTTGAAGGTGAGAGAAAGATCAGGTCCACAATTTTGGTCCACATGGAAATATCTTACCTTTAGAACTACATGGGACATGATCATACACCTCAAAGTCTCTTGTGCAGATCTGGCCAAACAATTAGACCATGTTGATTGCCTGAGTTTTATTCAGCATAATATTTGGGACTTTGAAACAGAGCTAGGCACACTTTTGTCAACTGGTTACTCATTAATTATCAGCATTATTTTTTTTTCTATTAACATTTTGCGAAGCATCACTAATTTATCAATTTATCTTTTCAAGTAATAGTTTGTCATCCTAAGCACCTACCTTATGAGATAACTGGATGTGCAAACACCTCCTTAAAAAACTCTGTTAACATTTTTAAATGGACATTAATTATTAGAGAAAAATAAATTATCAATATGACCAGGAGGCAAACAGAAAGTGGTACATTTGGTTTCTGTTAACGTCCAAAGTAGTAGTACAAATTTTGATTATCTTTGCACATCTCCGCTTTTAAATATTTCTTCAGCTTTTCAAAGTGAATCAGCCTTTCAGTCTAAATAAGACTTCAAGTTGCTGTCGTAGAGGCCTGGAGGGCAAAACCAGCTTTGGAAAGTGGCTGCTACTATTAAACACTCGTGGAGCTGCAGAGCAGGCTTGTTCATTTTCCATCCTTTCAAAATGGTGCATATTTACTTCACCTGACAACCTCAAAAGAACAGATACTAAGATCAACTGCAGGTTTTGTGTACTTGAAACCCTTATACAGCACCCGGTACACCATGAATCACTAAAAACAGCAAAGTCGTTGACAGAACTTCACTTCAGTGATGTTTACATATATCAAGTGGAGGGTCCCTTCCCTTATACCGCCGGCAGGACGAGAGCTCAGTATGTACTGCTTTACATATTTTTTAAGTGGCGAGGTCAGTACAGCAATATAGCTATATGGGAAGTGAATGGAAAGAAAATCTTCATCAGCAAAGCTCAAGGTGTGCTAATTAGCTAGTTAACGTTACCTAATGAAAGTATAAGGATCACTGTCAGCAGTCACTTTAAGTCAAGTTAACACAATCTTTTATGGCAGGATTGGGAGGAGGATTTCTTTCTCAGTTGGGATTTTATTGAACTTCAACACCAGGCTTGTCTCCTCATTGGTTATTTTTTTGCTTTTAACAACTGTCTTACATTTAAAATAATAATAATAATAATAATAATCTAGTAGGTGGCAATTTAGAGACCAGCAACTTCTGCATAGCATGGAGCAGCTGAAAGCCTTACTTGAGTGCCAGGTGGGTAGTTGCATACGTGTGATGATGCGTGAAAACTATACAAATGAATTGATTGTCATTAAATTTGACACAATTATTTCAATCTTGAATAATAGTGTGAAAATGTTAAAAGTCACTAAACCAAGATGGTGATTTCTACAAATATTATGTCTGCTCAACATCAACATGTTTGCCACTGGGACCATACTAGCAAAGGAATGCTTGCCTTTAGATAATCACTGTTCCCACAATCCTTCAGAGCCATGAGCATGGCTGTACCATCCCTGCCTCTTAAATGAGGCCCCTGCAGGGCCACTCTCTGCGGTAACCTGCATCGGGACTGAAAAAACTTTTCAAAACCAAAGCCGAATCATCATCCTTGGAACATCTTTCACAACACAATTAGTTAAGTGGTCACGGTGCTCAGCCAAAGCACAGCAAGCATGAGAGAGGGGATTAAGAAAAGAAAGAAAACATGCCCACATACATTCCCAAGGTTGTGAGCAAAGTCACTGAGGATGGCCGACATCCAGCCCTCAAGAGAAAACTTGCTGTCTCTTCTTAAAGGGGACTTTTATCCTTATGGAGCAGGGTTTTTTTCCCCCTTTTTCTTAAAGGTTAATGACAGACTTTCTTGACTGCACGCCTCTGTTTCTGCTGTGCCTCTATCTAGAATCTGATAAAAAGGAAACAGCTGCATCCAGCCATGGAATAGATTTAAAGACACCCCCCCCCCTCCACATACACCCCTATTGGCTGCAGAGTAAGTCTCACCAGTAAACAATCTTCTGTGAACCTCTCAGCAGTTTTTTTTAAGATTCTCCCTTATTCCCTTTTGATCTCTGTGTTTAGGAAATGAAATCATTTTATGGTATGTGTTAATGTATTAAGTGAAATTATGGAGAACATGAATAGCTTTAAACTATGGACAAAAAAAGACGGTAGAGAAGAACATGATGTTTTTTTGGGCATCCTCAAGCAGGATTCCTCAACCAGCTGCAGTTGCCAGAAACATGTGAAGAAGAGAAAAAAAAGGGCTTGTATGAGAATGTTTGATTTTTTTTTGTGTGGATATGCAGCAAGAATGCCCGTCCTACTCTTTATGTTGCTGCTTGTTGATGAACGCATGGTGTCTGGAGAAAAGCAAACAGGTTGATTCATTGGGTGTAATTGTAACCACAACATTCAATATTTGCACAGTCATTATTGACGTCTGGATGTGGAACAGGAAGCTGTAAGAAAGCCAAATAAACGTAATATTTTCTTTGGGAGTTTCAGTCCTCTGGGTTAAATTAAAAGAGTTTCCAGATGCTGCCAGTTTATGAAATCATCCTGCGCGTGAATGAGAAAGACCAGATAACGCCTGAAAAGTCTGACCCAGTAGACACCTGACTGTTTTTGTCTGTTTCATATCACTGAGTCAAACACATTAACTTAAAGTCCATAATGACAACAGATGCATGAGCGCACGTCACAAATACAGCTCAAAATGGTTGGTTCGACATATCATTCAGTCCTTTCAAGATTTTGAGGATTCCCTGTAACTGTCGCCCCCTAAAACTCCTGAATGCATGGCACCTTTTTATTTTTTAAGTGCAATGCATGTAAAGCCATTTTTTGGAGAATAGATTATTTTGAAAATATGTTTTGAAAGTGGTGTTCTAAGTAACCTACCAAAAGAGGAACAATTGTTCTAAAAAAAATATGCTTTAATTTTGGATTAAAAAGGGGAACTAGGACATAATTAACAGAAGGTTGTTGTAGCTCCAAATGCCCAAAAGAAAATGTACATGATGTTCTTTAAAATGTACTGCGCTTTACTCATTTTTTTGTGTCTACTTTGCATGTACAAAAGTATTAATGAGGGACCATGGTATAACAATCTCACTGCACGATGCCTGGTCAACTGACCAATCAGAGGCATTCATGGTATGGCTGAGTTGGTGGCTAACAGCTATCAACAACAACATAAAAGAATATATATTATTGCAAGAATACATCATGTATTGAGTGTACAGTCTCCAAAAAAGTCAATGGACATAAGGGAAGGCTGGGTAAAGCCCAGTGACCGGCTGAATTTGTGTTAATTGTTGTGATCTTGATTGCACCTTACACACTTGTTCTAACACGTAATCAAAGCTCGTGTGTTGCCTCCGGTCCATAGTAGGAGTTGCATTAACAAGAATGACAAACAGAAATAGAAGATGTTCAGTATTTTAACAAAAATATTAGCTTGCAGTCCTGTTGAATGGATCCATCAATCAGATGCAGGAACCAAGTTTTCATATTTTGGCTATTTAACATCCATCCGCTCTGCGAAGTTGCAGACAAATAAAACGATTTCATGTTTTAAAAATCAAACAAACAATCAGTTAGGACTGTCTCAAGATGGATTATCTCTCTTCACATGTGATGTTTTTCACTCCTCACTGTGCTCTGAGGACAGAAGCAATCAAAACAAAATGTCACAGGCTCTCTCCTTTACAGTTTTCTATTCCCATGTAAGAAATATATACTTTTTCCTCTGAGTCAATACTGTGATTTCAGATTTACCTATATACTACATTTTAGTAGTATTGTCTTCTTAACCTCTGCCAAACATTTTGTTTCTTAGTTAAGTATGCTGTGTGTCTAAGCTCTGATTCCTAAGATCTCCTTGGGTTAAGTCTGGAATGAAAGGTCAAAGAGTGTCATTCAATTTCTGAGTTTTGATTTAGTCATATCTTTGGAGCCACCTTTGCTTGGTTGTTCTTTATCATAATAAACTCAAATAGTTTGTGATCACTCTTGATGCAATGTCTTAACAACTAATCACACAACACTGGAACATTTATGCCAACCTAACATGTCATGTATTTTAATAGACTAAAGGCATAATCCAAAACAAATTAAAACAGCAGCTACAATTTTTTTTTCAATGTGAAAATGTCAAACATTTGTGTCAACAGCAAACACAGGAAGCTTTTACTCAATCTTGAAATTATTTTTATAATTATATTTTCAGATTTGCAATGTGTTTCTAAATGTACAGCCAGTTCTCATAATAAAAACCATTTGGGCCTTGGACCATGTTTGTCCTTGTAAGCCACCATACAGTTAAAACTTGTTTAATTTCTTTCATTTTTGTTGTTAATCCCAACCAAAAAAGGACACTTAACTTCAAATGCTTATCCAACAGAAAATGTAAATGAGAGGCTGAAAGTATTTCTTTTTATTCAAATAGTTCTCTTTGCCGTGTTTAAGTCAACCTCACCTTTTGTTTAGCTGCAGGGGATCCATCCTACACAATCTTTAATAATGGACAAACACAACACATTTAATACATGTAGAACATGTAAAGGCTTTTATTGACATTTTGAATTGTGTTTTTCTACAAGAAATTATTTCCCTGAGTGAGAATAAAGCTACAAAACTTTAAGCCCCTGATAACAAATTCAAGTAATGATTATAACTAAAGGAATAACAGAAGAAAAAAAGTACTTGACATTTTTTTACTGGAAGGCTTCAGAAGTATTGTAAAAGGTAGATTTACCCTTTCATGAATAAAACACTTCCTTGATTATATATGTTTTTAATAATCAATAACTTTTTCACGATTACATCGAAGGCTGTATTGTCATAGTCAATATTTTGTGCTATCAAGTCAGCATAGGGCTGATGGTGAAACATATCCCGCTCTCAGCGTCCCAGTGCCTCACCCTGCTGCCTTCCTTACACACTACATCATTAGCTGTCTGCTGAACACCTGGAGGCAAAGCCAGCAAGGTAATTATTGAGGGCACAGCCACGTCTGCACGCAACCATCATTAACCCATCTTAGTTCATTTAGAGCAGGCTGTGTTGTTGTAAGAGGAGACACGGAGGGAGAAAGGAGCAGCGTAGGGCGGTGATAAGCCCCTGACATGTCGAATATGATACAATGAATGTCTCCGAGCATAGAGCTAATAAAGGCTGGAATTTGCCTTTGCTTTTTTTCATCAGGCACTCGACCTGGCGCAGTGCCAGCACCTTGGATGATAGAGGTTTATCCCCAGCTCTAAACCATAAAGGTGCAGGAATTCATTGGAAGGGACACAAACACACAACCAGCAATGACTTTGTTTGTTTACCATGCAAAAAAAGAAAATAAAAAAAGATTTCAAGAAGAGAGCTCCAGAGAGCTTATGTTACCTCATAAACAATGACTGGATTCAGAGTATGTGTGTTTAGAAGCATTTTTTCTCTACGACTGTGTGCACATATAGCTGCAGAATGCAAAATATGTGCAACATTTCAAGTTGCTTCATCATATTAAACTCATGAATAGTAAATCAATCTTTGTACATTTCCCTCTGTTACACCATTTTAAAATCCCCTCAGCTGAAAGGTAGGTGGCTGCTTCAGGTAAACGGATGACAGTTCCTTCCTCCCTCTCTCTCTCTCTCTCTCTCTCTCTCTCTCACCTCAAGGCCTCATTTCCTCCCTAAAGAAAACACCTTGACTCGCCCGTGCAGCTCACACAAGCCGTGAAGAGGAATGCATGTACAGTGACAGACTGCCAGGAACAGTTAGGCTATAATTGATGAGGGAGTGGGTTGATTTTGAATGAAGATGGCTTGTCATCTTCTGTTTGTTATTTCATCTTTTTGTTATGCCTTTATTTATGGGATCATTTTATTGCTTTTAAAAAAAAAAATGAGTCACTCTTTTTAAACTCTTCTTTCATTGTAGATTCTGAACACAAATTAAATGTAATATATTTTGTTCAACAATGTTGAAAAATGTTGCTTAATAGTTTAAATAGTTAAAAAAATAAGTGCTCATTCATTCATAACAGAAAATCTAACATTTCCTGTATGAGGCTTTAAAAACTACTATAATATTGCCTATACAGTTAAAACATATAGACCGATGAGGGAAAAGGGAGGTGTCTTGGCATAACTCTTTTTAACATTGAGCATAAAAACCTATTTTTTAAAATCTTGTTACTTGAAGAAAAGTTGTATAACAAAACACATTAATGTAGAATTAGCTTTGATATATGGCCTGTTAACCTCTCACCTGTTTGAAGTTAACAGGGCTTTGTTGAAAAAAGGGAATGTCCGGTATTTCATTTAACAACATTTTGGATCAGACTCACATGACACTATCAGTTAAATCTCATAAACCTACACCACCCTACCTACAAATTAACTGAGAATTTAGGCTGTCCCTTAAAATGAGATTAAAGAACTGCTTTACTTCCCCAATGTGAAAATTTCAGAACATAAAACGAATGCCAATGCTTACACCATGACCTTTAACCCTCGTCTCTAGTACTGATTGAGTTCTACAGGTAGTTAAACTGCACTTTCTACAAAGCTGTGACAATGACTCAGTCATGGAATGAAAGTGAAACTGCAAGAAAGCATAATTTGCAAACTCTGGTTTTCTTTCGTTAGAATACTTTTGCATGCTGTTATATCAGAACAAGTTTCTTCAGTATTTTTGCAGGTATTAAATACAGCAGCTTGGATAACTTACAGGTGCAAACTATTTGCTAAACATTTCTTATCCACCACTCCAGACAGTCATAATGAATTTATCAATTAGGTCTGGCTGCGTGTGCCCTTCAGGCTGCAGCCGGCCCTCACCTTCTCTGCACTGAACTTTAATCAGTCATCCTGTCAGATCAGCAGAGTAGCGTGGAAAAGGGGGCAGTTAGGTCTTATATAAAGAAGACTTGCTTTTTAAAAGTTGTGAGTATTCTTTCATCATGTACTATTGCATAAGTGTTTTGCAAGCTTGCATTTGATTGACAAACACACACAGATCTTATAATGGAATGGGAAAATGTTCAATTTGAAGGTGAGAAATTCAGAAATGTATGCAGCATTTGTGATGTAGTTAAAGTAATATTTGTATGCAGCATGATTTCAGGCTGAAAAAAAGCTATATGAACGCTTCATAGTCAGTGAAGGCTCTGATGTGTCTCCCTCTAGAGGAGAGTAGGGATAGTGTACTTAATGAAACAAGCATGCACACATGGCTAAACCAATAATAAACTTTATTTATATTTTCATTTATATGTTTACACAAGGTGAAATGTTTCACGTTTACATAGAATGCTACAATACAATGAGATACAAAAATATATATTTTTCCATTATTCAAATATTATATTTCCATGCCAACTGTTATGTATATAATACACATTGCAAATAATCTATCTCTTTACAAATACAAAATATTTTACATGCTACAAGCACACATTAAGGTAAAGGTGTAAAAAAACACACATTTGGGGATAACTTCATACTTTTTATAGGTTTTCCAACATGTAATCATCAGTGCTAATACCTGCAGGCAGAGCAGTGAACAGTCAAACCACAACTGAGAGGAAACGGTTGGATGTTTATCAGTGCACACAGGTCTTGTTTGCTTGGGAGGGGAGCACATTGTGGTTTAACCACTTGAAACTGACAGGCAGCTGGTGGTGGAACTCAATCTGTATTTTTTAGGTGCCCTGCGCTGCTTCCGAGGAGTGGAGGGTGGGGAGGCCACGCTCAGATTTCTGACTTTGTTAAAACTGTTCCTCAGACTGTCCCTCCTGCTCTCTGAGGTGCTGCTGGTGTCCTTGGATCTGAAGCTGTCTGGGTGACAGAGGCCAGACCGCATGCAGCAGCACAGCAGGTCAGCAATGGCCTTCCTCATCTCACTGCTGCCCAGGGCGTAGATGACCGGGTTCAGGCCGGAGTTTAGGACAGCCAGTGAGATGCAAAAGTCAGCACTGAACAGAAGTGCGCAGTGGCGTGAGACACAGAAGAAATCGACCAGTAAGAGCAGGAACAGCGGCCCCCAGCAGACTACAAAGACCCCCACAATGGTAATCACAGTTTTAAGCAGAGCAAGGGAGCGCTTGCGGCTGCGCTGGGGGCCAAGCTTTGCATTACTATGTACGTGGCAGTAGATGAGTCCATACAGCACGGCGATAGCCAGGAGGATGAGGAAGAAGATGATGAGTGAGAAGAGGATGTAGCTCTTGGAGTAAAGGGGGAGGAGGGTAGAGCATCCATCGAGGTTGCACACACAGTTCCAGCCCAGCAAAGGGAGGAAGCCGATCACCAGTGCCAAACCCCAGCAAAGCACCACAAGGCCATAGATCCTGTAATAAGATCTCCTAGTGGACTTCTGAGGCAGTGGCTTCATCATGGTGGTGTAGCGCTCCACAGCAATCAGCAGCAGACTGAATATGGATGCCGCCAGGGCCACAAACACAATCCCCTCTCTGAAGAGCCACAGAGCGGGGGTGAGGCGAAAAGTCTGGCTGCCGGACATAAAGATGTTGATCACATAAGCAGCCCCAGTGAGGAGATCGCTAAGTGTGATGTTGGCGATGCAGACGTAAACCCAGCGCTGCTGTGACGGATGCGGGAAATGACGGCTACCAGCACCAGGAGGTTCTCCAAGATGATGAAGATACTGATGCAGAGAAAGATAACTGTGGTGACGCTTACATGGTTCTGGACATTTGAGATGGTCCGGTTCTGCAGGCGGCCGGTGTGGTTGTAATGCAGCAGAATCACATGGCTGATATTTGAGGCTGCGGTGGTAGTAGAGTTGCTGGGGTCCCTGGGTAAGTGGTAAGTGTGGGGGCAGGAGGAGGGGGACACAAGGGAGGAGAATGCATCCATAGTGGCAGCTGTCCTGGTGAATGTCAAGGATAGTTAGGGATAGGCTGAACTCAGCTGGTACGAGCTGCAGAGGAATTAGTGTGAAACTCCTGTGATCAAACAGGCTATCGTCACACTCTACCTGCAAGAGCTCAATACACACCTGACAAGACAAAAGAAGAAGAAATGGGAATCATTTCAATAAAGCATCTCAGTGAAAACAGGAGAAAATTGAGAAAAACGTCCCTTTTCCTCATTGTGGTGCTTCATCAATTTAAAAAGACATAATTTAAATGCCTGCTGCATGTGCCACATTACTCCCCCTCCCTGCGGTTAACACAGCATTAACTGAGCATGCTGCGGGGTATTTAAATCACCACATCGAGGAAATACGCAGTGTTTTTTACAATAGTACTGGATATGTTGTTATTACTATAATCAATGCAAAAAGAATACCTGCACTATAGTAAAAACACATTAACATTTTTGCACAAAAAAGCAATAGTACATTTTATCTGTTTTCTCCTTAAAAAAAAAACGTGTGCAGTAAATATCCATCAACATTAATTGATCAAAACAAATGAGACAATGTTTTTTTGCAATGTTCAATTTTAGTTCAAATCTGAGCAATAACTTAAAAAATACATTCATTTACATCATTTACATAATTCTGTGCATTAAGAGTGAATTCGTTATTCTTAAATAACAGCAACAGTAACACTGCATTGCAATTGAACTGTATAATATGTTGATAGAATGTATCCTTACATGTAATTATTGTATGTGCAGAATTTAGTGGATGCTGTGCAGTACTTACTCTGGTTGCTGGTGATGATTCTCCGCATGTGAGAAGGTAACGTAGTTGATGGGGAAGTATGCCAAAGCAGACTGGGTTGTAACACACCACACCCAAGACACGCACACACACACACACACACACACACACACACACACACACACACACACATATGTGCAACAAAGAGATTGCACTGACTTTTATTCCATCACTTGGTAAAGTCACAAAGTAACTTTGAGAATTTCACGGTTGCTTGTCAATATTGGTCAACAACTGCATTACTTTTATTTTATTATATGCGTTTTATACTTATAATATTGAACAATTTTTCCATCGATTTTCTGTTGCACCAAGTTCATCACATTTTCTTAGGGCATCATATAAATTTTACTACAACTGCACATCACTTCCTATTGCTCAAGCTGCCCTATAACAACCTCATACGGGAAAAGCTCTTACAAAATGAAAGCTAAGCAAGTTTAAATGTTTTCTAAAGTAACATGACTCAATATGGTTTTTAGGATATGGGGTAAGAATCTCACTTGCACTTACAAGACAATGGCACCTAACCAAGAGAGATATTACAAAAGCCTTAAATTAGGTGTTTTTCGCAATACTTCTCAGAAGGTAGAGAAAAACAGGAACTCCCAATCAGATGGAAATGGGCCCCTCCCTGCAGATTGTCGGTTTCATTTGTCTCATCTCACAGCTGTGGTTGTTGGGGCACCAATACCCAATTCCCTTCATGTTGTTGTCACAACGCATGGCACACTTGTCTACAGCAAACCTCGAACCAAGCACCAGCAGACTGAAACCACATGCCATAAGACAGGCAGTGGCATTGCGACCATGACCACTTTCAAGTCAACCATAAACACACAAGATGCAGACAAGAAGCTTAGAAAAGCATCCAGCAAGCAACAGAAAGTGACGCCAGACCCCAAAATCATGAAACCACTGTTCAAGTAAGCGAAAACCAGAACTTGCTGCTGAACATATTTTCCCTTCAGAGTGGAGTTTTCAAAGACTTATGATTATATATTTCGAGTTTTCTGCAAATAGGCTCTAATTCTATCCATGCACTATAATTATCATCTATCAAATGCTTCAAAAGAATGCAAATAAAGGCCAAAAATCATTGAGATCATATAACTATGATCACTCTAGTTTCCTAATATTTTGGTAATATGTTTCAATTGCATGGTCTAGTTTTTACATTTTCTAAATGTTTCAGTGGTTTAACTCAAGAGTTTGCATAGTGTCTCCATTTCAAAAGGATAGCCCATCTAAAGACTAAAACAAGGATAATATAGCTGTTAGAGACTTGACCTACATTGTCTATCAAGTGTGACCGTAATGAGGTTCATGACATCAAAAAAGCTTTACAACTTCTTCTTTTCAGTCCCCACCCATGTAAAAAGAAATAAAGACAAAAATAAGACAGACATGCATCAGCAAACTATAGAGTCAAAATGTTATATTTGGATAGAAATTCCCTGTCTGCATCTAAGAGGTTGTAATTGAAAATGAAATGAGGAATTTGAAAAAAAAAAACACACAACAAGCAGAAACCCTGAGGTGTTAACAACACGTAAAACTGTTGAAAACGCCCTTACCCTGAAAAACAATTCATCCTTTAAGTGTGTCTAAACCACAAATGTGTGTGTGTGTGTGTGTGTGTGTGTTATCTCAAAAATAGTGCCATACGTGCAGAATCTTACTGCAGAGGCTCTGAACAACAAGACAAGCAGATTCATCAGTAGACAATCAGGAGCTTCTCAGTCACCTACACGTCTTTAGACTTTGGGAGGAAACCTTTACCACACATGCAAACTCTGCACATGCTGGCCGCGTGGGAATTGAACCCACCACCTGTGTGAATTAATAAAAAAAAGTCAAATGATTTAAGAGGTTGAAAAGAGCCTTATGATATCTATGATATGAAGCCTTATTAGATTTAATCTTAATGCACAGGGCAATTTCTGCTTTTTTATCACACAAAGGACACAGCCTCAAACTGGGCTACAATTAAATGGGCTTTATTAATGAAAGAACTCAAATGAGAACTCTCTAACATTATAAAATAAATAATTCAGATATTACTGCTGCAGCGGTGTACGTCTGTCACTGCTGAACTCATGATCAGTTTAAGAATAGCCAACATAATTTGCTCAGGGAACGAACAAGTGAAATGCATCTACAGTGATGAACTCTTAAATAGATATTTAAACAGACAATTAGTACAAAAAGCAATCCAAGCAGCAACAAATTAAAAAACTTTTGGTAAAGATGGTTTGCCAAATGAAGTGCTGAAATCCCACAACATTTGAGATTTACTTTATTTGTTGTGTGAAACATGTTTTGACTGCACTGTGTTGTACCCTCTGTTTGGCACTACTCTTAACTTAAAGGGTCCAGAAAGATGACCCAAAGGAGCTGCTAAATGATTGGAGCCTTTGTTTATTGAGCACTGTCATCTAAATTGTAATCGTCCCTTATAGTTTTCAGAGCAGTTTGTTTGAAGAGGAAGGATCGAGCCTGTATGCATCATATCTATACATTATCTACATTAAGACACAGATTGAAATATAATCACTCCACATTCTCTTGTTTTATTTCTCCCAAAAGCTTTCCATTTCAGTGATCGTGAACTCTTTAGACTTAAACTTTTTTTTTGGGTTAATGGAAAATTTGAACAAGCTGTTGTTTCTTTATATGGAGCACCCACTGCCTGTGTAAAAGAGAACTAATTACATTACAGAATAGTTTCCCACCCCCTCTGGGGTTACATTATTTGCTGTCTTTATTAATGTTTTTTGCTCTGTCTGAATATCTGATATATTTCTCTGACTCTATTTCTCATGGGGTGGGAGTATCTCAGTCTGTTAGGTCTTTGGTTGGGAACCGGAGGGTTGCACAACTTAAGTATGGACCAAAGTTGGTCTGGTTAGTGACGATTCTACAGTCTGTCAGGGCCCTAAGCAAAAATTAACTAGGGGCCCCTCAAACCAGTGTTCATCACCATTATGTCTGCCAGTATCCAGATGCTTACTCGTCCTCCTCTTTTTCCTCTTTCTTTTTTCACTCTAACACAGATAATTCTTTAGCAGGGCATGGAGAGGGAGTGCCGTCAGATGAGGCCCCTCCAGGGAGGTTTCCAACTGTCACTGCAAAATTTGCACACTTTGAGCCACTGCTGAGGTTTAACGTTCGTCAGCCCTTGGGGGCCCCCTACTGTTATAAGGCCCCAAGCAGTTGCCTGCCTTGCCTGTTGACAAGCATTGCCTCTGGGTCTGGTTGCTGAAGAGATGCCAGGTCACTTCCTGAGTGCTTATTTGCCCCATGTGCTGTGGCAGGCCCAATCTGACATCTCTTAATACAATTACTAGTTTCAGTCTACGCAGCAATCTTTGCTCTGTGCAAGTCAAGGTTCCTTTTTTAACCACTAGGGGCAGAGGAACTTGACAACACACACAGCTCCAAACATGCGAGTCTGGAAGTTGACAAATACATCGCACAGGGAGCCAACAGATAACAGGATATTTTAATGCAACCAAAGTTTTCATAAAATCATCACCACTCCTTTAAGGTGAGGCCAAGATTTAACTCTGAGGGTACCTGATGGAATTTATACCTACAGACTCCATGGTTCTCATTTAGTTTTCAAAAAGATGAGAAAACAAAGGCAGTCTTCTGAAAGAAGAAGGCCTTTATTAAATGAACTATTTCATCATGGAAATTTTAAAAGCAAGTAATCGAAAAGCTAGTCATCAACAAACGCATAGTGGAATAAACAGCATTTTTGACTTGCCTTGTTTTTAACATTTCTATGAAGAAATAGCTAATTTAGTAAAGGCTTTGAACTTTTTATCAGAAGAGTGACTTGTTTTTTTTTAAATCTCTTTAATTTTCTGTTTCCCACCAAGGAACACCTTTACCATTCTTTGTTTGAACTTCTGAGCACTCCAGACTCTTTTTTTTTTGTCTCATGTAGTTTTACCATAAATATTTTAACGGCTTGTAGATGGAGCACAATTAAAAGAGCCTGAATGACCTGAAATTCCAATCTCATGATTGATGATGAGAAGTTATTGGACATTAAATATTGGTTAGTGCTATTTGGGAAAAAGCTTATGTCAGTCAAAGTTGGTTGCTGGAATCGATACAGTAGAGTTGAAGTTGTGCCTTGCACTATGGTGTTGAGCAGTCAACATCTGGTGGCCAAATGGCAGTATTACAGTAATACATATTACAGTCAGTGTTCTGTCAACATGAAACAAGTTGAAGATGCTAAAAAGATCACAGAGATCATAAAATGGCACAAGAATATTTTCTTCATTGAGCATTTTAGTTTCATTAGATGGCAGACGTGATGCATGGTAAGATTGCATAAAGCAATGTTTACAACTCTCTGTTAACGTAATGTAAGTATTTTTTTTTCTTCTCTGTGTAGTTTTTACTGTTGTTTTGCATTTTTGAAACTGAGGTGCCACACTTCAGAGTATTTTTGTTGTCAATCTAAGTAAATATTGGAAAGGCCAAATACGTGCAATGAGGTAGTGCACTTTAAAACCTTTTGTAAACAATGGCTAAAGGCAAACCGGAACTGAGATCACTTTTAACATCTCACATTTCACAATAGGCCTATACACCATTTTCTTCTATGGTTTTCTTCTTATGTATTATATATGAATTTCATATTGGTAATGGAAAAATGTTGCTTGCAATGATTCATGTTTTGTAATGGTTACTCAGGTGTAACAGCAAAAGCGCATCTTGTATTTTAATAGATAGATAGATAGATACTTTATTGATCCCAAAGGAAATTCAAAGCATCCAGTAGCAGATTACAAAGACGTACATGACATGAAACATTGTTTTTAGTACAAAAAGCAATCCAAGCAGCAACAAATTAAAAAACTTTTAGTAAAGATGGTTTGCCAAATGAAGTGCTGAAATCCCACAACATTTGAGATTTACTTTATTTGTTGTGTGAAACATGTTTTGACTGCACAGTGTTGTACCCTCTGTTTGGCATTACTCCTAACTTAAAGGGTCCAGAAAGATGACCCAAAGGAGCTGCTATTCATATATATTAACCTGAAAAAAAAAGAATTAAAGAATACCCCTAGATGAAACAAACTTAAACTGTGCAATTGAAAATAGACTTATACAAGAAATGTACATAACCCGTGCAGGGATAAAAATATATGTATATATAATTTAAACAGTTGAGGAAAAAATCTGTAATTAGACCTGAATATAAACTATAGGCTAATACTGTCATTCATTAGCCTATAGTCTCTTATTGACTCAATTGTTCATATCAAACATATAAATGATCTATGAAAATAAACAAAAGTTAGTTGTTAACAAGTTACATTGCATCACAATTAACACTAATTCATCTAGTTTAAATTATCTTTCTCTCCATAGAGTAAGAGTAAAGCATATACATAGGCCTCACATTTTGTATTTGGATTATGTACATTGTGCTTTTTTTCAGGAATACCAACACAACATTTACACATTTACAGGTCTCCACACAGACATAACCATAAACAAAGCAAAGGAACACATCCAAACTAAATAAGAAAGTAAAATTAACCCCATTAGAGATAACATCAGATAGTTTTAAAAACCATTTCTCAGAATCTTGTATTCAAGAGCTCTAAATAAGCCTGGCAGTTATCAAAAAGGTGAATTAACGCTAATTGTTAGAACGGCTTATTCACAATACATTAGCATTAGTTAGCCAGAAACTGTTCACATGGATTAAATAAATGAACATGTATTAATCATCAAGCAGCAAACAAATATTAGAAAAAAATTGGTGTGGTTGCTTTTATCAACAGGAAGTTCAACCTTTTCCTCACAAAGGACATTTTCACTCAATGTTATTTTTTCAACTATAATAGTTTGTTATAGTAGTTGTTTTTCTTAAATTACAAACTACATGTGTACATTACCACCTGAGCTTGTAGAAGAGTAATTCTCTGTTCCGGCGTGTGGCACCACCTCCTTACTCCTGCAGAGGGCGCTGTTCTTTCAAAAATGTCCCTAAGCAACAGGGTGCATTCACTACATTGAATCTGGCTTCTTCCTTTTCCTCAACTTTTTTTTTTTTTTCTCACCGCTTCTGTTATTAAGGCAACGAGAAAGGAAGTAGCGACAGGCTAGCTGGTTAGCCGGTCTGAATCCACACACAGTCTGTCCGGAAAGAGTGAACTTGAAAGGAACATTTTTTTTTTATCCGGGCGGCTGTTTTTTCCTTGGTTTAATAACAGCGTGTGAGCAGACTGCGGGTTATTTGTCGATACGTTTTATTTTCTCTCTGCCGCGGTTTCAGACCCAACTGTGAGCTTTGTCTGCCTGTCTGGGGCGCCTCCGTTGTTAGCCTGGTCGGTTTCAAAACAGTCTTGGGTTTATTCAAAGACAAACCTCCCCCCCTCACCAATCCGTATCCCTGCGATTTGTTCATCATTATTTCACCAGTGGGTTGAATCGTGGAAGATGCAGTTAAGGATTACACCAAGACAATGAGAAAAACAGCCGGGAAAGGTAGGTGAAATACTGTCGGCATTGAATTAGTCTTCTTTCAGGAGAAGTCTTGTTTTATCGTCAAGTCGGTCAAATCTGTCGAAAAATATCTTGGTTTTATTGTGTGTACGATACAGTTTTTAACGTAATGTCTACCAGGCACATCATCGTTGACAAGAACTGTTATAGGAAGTTATTGTGAAGTGACGGGATGGTAACTCAAACCCTCTTTACTTGTTCTGCTGAGCAGCTTTCAACGCCCCATGTTACAATGAGATAAAGCTGGCTAACTAACCAGCACACTTTCATAGCCGTCCTGTCTCACTGTAACGATAACAGTCGACAAAAGGTTTTTTTTTTCTTTCCTGCTGTTTTCTTAGTGACATACTAGCATTGTATGCATGCTGAGAATGACTAGGGAATGTAGGCTGACTTGTTGCAGTTCACTGTCCCCAGGCCTGCTTCACAATATGACTAACCTACACGTCAGTCAGTTGTTGTTTTCTTTGAGTTTTTGTATTCCTAAATATTCTTGCCATGAATATTTTCAGAGTAATCTAAATGTTGCAGCTACAACTTATCCAGCTGAGCCAGTACATCATATCTGTGTCTGTGTGTGTGTGTGTGCTCATTTGTGCACAGTTTATGACTGTGTACATGCCTGAAATGAAGGAACACATCTGTTTAAAGTTGGGATATACATATCAGTTCAGTATTGTTATGATGATGTCATGTGTGATAGTCATTCTTTTAAACTACTGAACTACATGCAAATGTATTCAGAGCCATACTAAAAATAATCACTCTGATGTGAAATGTTTGTAGCTGTGTGTTTTTATTTTATTTTTATTGGCCAGACCTTAACAAAGTCTCCCCCACAAGCTGCAGGACCTCGCTCGTCCTATGACTAACGTCTGGGCAGTGGAAAATAGCAATCATACATATGGACACTAAAATTACACACACATACACTTCACTTGGAAGTCCCTCACCCTCCGTGTTTCCCCTTTCTTTGAATAATTTTGTTCTCGGCCGTGCTGTTGTCTTCCAGTGGCCCTTCTTGCGAGTTACTTCCTCATGGTGAAATAATGTGTTTACACTTTCGTCTGGCAGCTCCGTGGATTAATAAGCCAAATGTTGAGACCCAGACCTGGAGACTGGCCTGAAAAAAAAAAAGCTTTCAGAGTTAAGAGTGGAAAATTACAAATATCCACTAGTTTGGGCGGTTTGGGAATGAAAACATCAGAACACATAGGTGGGGGGCATAGACCTGTGGTGCACTTTAGTTTGTGAGTGAAGTGTTCTTAGCAAATTGTTGTTTAAACTGCTATTTTATTTGTATGCGACGCTGTTCTCATCTGCCATTGTGCGCTTATTGTATTATTATGGAGCACCCCTGCAATCTTCACCATTAAGAACCTCATGCCCTCCTTTCAAGTAGCTTTATTTAGTCTGTTTTAATGTGTTTTACCACCATAAGTAAAAATGTCACTGTGTTTTAAGTCCGTGCATCTGCGCAGGCAAGTCAAATACAAGTTTCTGCCTTTGCATGCAAAGAAGTAGAAAATAAAATATTTTCCGTTCATATACAGTATCTATGGAGACATATGTTAATAACTTAGAACACTGGTTATGGTTGGATTCATCATTACACATAACATTAAAACAGGAACGGATCAAGACATCTAACATATAGAACCATGCATGTTTATTATTCAAGAAAAGGTTATTGAAAAGCAAGTCATTTATCTAAAACTACAGAGCCTCTGAAATACAACCTTCATGATCATCATATAGACATTCCTTTTTTATAACAGTAAAGGTCATTATACTATAAATAGCTTCTCTGGTGGTGTTCTTTGCATTGACATATAGGAGGCTTGTGAAGCTCAGTTGTGAGCAGAACCAGTAAACCCACTGGTGGTAAAAAGAGCCTGCCAGTTAGACTGTGTTGTGCATCAAGAATCAGCATATCAATTCAGTTAGGGTCCCCATCTGTCAAATTCAAAATCTAATTAACATGCCAATCCTTTAAAGCGGGCTTAAGCCTCAAACCTCCATTTATTTTAATAGCCTACTCTTTGTCTCATAATTTCAATAACTGTTTTGCAATTTGGGGTGGAAGGGATGTGATGCAGCTAAATACAGATGTTCGAAGAACCCATTATATGCCAACAAATGTATGAATGACATCTGACCCGGAGGAACTGTAATCCTCTTCCTTATTTCATTTAACAGATCTTTCCTAGTCTTTTTTTTTTTTTCCAAACTGAAATCCCTTTAAATAATGTTCAAATTCAGTTGTTATACAGCCGTTTATATCCCGTACATCCTGAAAATGCTCAGACAGCGTCTCTCTTCCCTCCTGGAAAGAAAAGGACCATATGGCCCCCTGCTAATGGTCGGTATCCCTGCTGCAGAGCTGACAGAGGTTGTGGACAAGAAGGGGATTGGGGGAAGGACGACCAATTACATCTCCAGCTCAGCTTTGAGCTGTAATTGGTCCACACATCCTGGCGAATGCAATTGTGTGAAACTGCGGCTGAAAAGATGATTGCCTCAATCATAGCTGTGGCAACCTTTCTCAGAGGAAAGATTCAAGGGTTTGCTCGGACTCAGCGTTCTTATTCAGCTTTATTACCTTTATTTCATCCACTGAATCTTCCCACGTGTGATATTAAACATTAATTTCCTTTCAGATAACAGAGTAAATCTGTCTTATCTCAGCTGGGCTTTGTTTGCAGTCCACATAGCTGTTTGTTTTGTAGAGAATGATCAGTATGGTCAGGTTTTAAATACATTTAGAACGGTAGCTGTTTATGGATCATTAACCTGCTCATCAAGCAAGCTGCTCTCTGCTCGAGTACCAGTCGACAACAGCAACCAGTAAGATGGTTAAAAAAAAATTTGGTGAACCAAAGAAAGAAAATAACTGGCTTATTTGTACACTGAGGACATATGAAGTTTTATGCTCTGATGTGACTCGTGCAAGCTACATTTTATTTTAAGCTCATGATTTTCGAAGTGTTGGGGCTGTTTTTGCCCGTAGATAGTGAAAGTTACTTTGTGGAGTCTGCAGAGGATCTGTTAACACCTCTGCGTGGTGTCTTATCTTATCATGTGTGATGTCAGGGTCGAATGTGTGGATTCTTTTTAGACCTACCAGGAAACTCTTTTTTTTCTTTTTTCTTTTACTGTTTGATGTATCATGATTAGTGTGGGAAAATGCAGATTATGCATGGTCTGCTGTCTTTCTCCTATTTCATATTATTATCAAAGAACAGAATGATAAGTACTGTGCTTTTAACCTGCTCTGTCTCTCTTTGTCCTCTACACTGTGTTCCTGACAATACCAGGTCCAGCTACAGTGTGCTATGACAGCAGAGTCCCTCAGCAGCATGTGTTGACTCTAGTGAGCTGTTGTTGTTGGGCCAAGATAATTTAGGCTACCTGTGGAATGACGCAGACACCTGCAGTCCCGTGGCACTGCAGAACTGCCTCAGTAGCTTTTGTAGAACGAGAGCTAGAGCCATTGTCCCATTTCAAGTGCGGCAAATTTAATGCACACCTTTGTGTGGACATTTTTATTATTAAAGGGGCCATACGTAACTTTCAAAAATACTAGCGATACCGCATGGCGAACTGCACCAGTAACCTGTTGCTCGCTCTCCCTCGCGTGCTCGTCATACGTGCTTGTACGTACACAAACGAGCATCATCATCGGCCGCAAAACACTGGATATTTACCAGCATAATGTTTACAGAGGAGGTAAGTGGACATACACATGAGAAAGTCTGTGAAGGAGTCTGTGTGTCTGTATTCATTCTCCATCCTACAAACGACAGTCTCTGCAGGCACTGGCTGAGAGCAGGAGTGTGTGATGAGTTTGTCCGCCTTTGAGAGCTCGTAGGGTGGATAGAAGTGTGTGGAAGGCGGCCTCTGGCTGTAGCGGGAGTGTGTGATGAGTTTGTACTGTTGATCTCTGTAAGCGGAGCGGAGTGAGGAGGACGTTGAGAACGGAGCTTTCGCAGAAAATACGACCCGGTGAAAATCTTTATACAGGCAACACAGATAGACAGTGAACATCTACTTTTTCACATCAGTTAACCGTTCGTTTATTAATGGGCAATAAAAAAATATTTATATGTGTAAAAAGTTACATATAGCCCCTTTAAATGTAAAAACTGCAGCTTGAAAAGTTTGCAGTCGGCAACAGATAAACAGGAAACGACAGACTGGCTGCTGTTAGGATGTTTGAGGAGTAAAATGTTCAAAGGTCATCATTCATGTAAATGGTATTGCGATTCCACTTTCAAGATGGATGCATTTTGCTTTGCCCTAAATTTGGGGCTGCGTTTAATTGTTACTGTCATTGAATAGTAATTAGTAGAAAATGTCTCTTAGTGTTTCCTAAAAGTACAAGGACGTTTTTGAATGTCTCTTTTTATTGTCAACAAAAATGTTTGTTTTTTTCCAATTAAAGAACTGGACTCAGAGAATCTTTTTTTCTCTCTTAAAATGAATACCCTAACCCATTGATTGATTGATTATAAAATTAGAAAGCAGTTGATTGAATATTTGACAATATCATTGTTGTGGATGTATATAATTGTATATTTTCAAATGGATAATTTGTATTTTTTATGGTTTTCCTTGAAATGTGGAAGAACTGGAAAAGACTAAGTGTTAATATGTTTACCACTCAAAGTATACTATAGCTGTGATTGTCAAGGGCTTGGCAAGTACTGTAAGTTGGACATGTAGAGGCTTGTGTTTCTTAACACTGAGGCTCAACAGGGCTAGTCTAGTTGTTATTTTGCCTCGTGTGAACCTGTGACTATGAGCTGTTACTATAACTTCAGGAGAACTGAATATAGCATATTGTATCACTGTCTCTCCTTGTCTTCTTTTGATTCATGGTGGTTTATTTTGGGGCTTTTTATGCCTTTTATTTAGAGTCAGAAATCAGGGAGAGAGAGAGTGGGGGATGGCATGCGGGAAAGGAGCCGTAGTTGGATTCA